TCAGTGGCAGGCAGCTATGGATGCAGAGATGGCTTCCTGGAAGTCCACAGGCACCTATGTTGACGCAGTTCCCCCTCCTGGGGCGAACATCGTCAGTGGCATGTGGATCTTCCGGGTGAAGCGGCCGCCGGGCTCTCCACCTGTCTTCAAGGCGCGGTACGTTGCTCGTGGCTTCAGTCAGCGGCAGGGAGTTGACTACTTTCAGACCTTCTCTCCCACCCCGAAGATGACCACTCTTCGGGTGCTGCTGCACATAGCCGCTCAGCGCGACTACGAGCTTCACTCTCTTGACTTCAGCACTGCGTTCCTGCAGGGTAGCCTGCACGAGGAGATCTGGCTGCGCCGTCCACCTGGCTTCACAGGGACTTTCCCTCTTGGCACCCAGTGGAGCCTCCGACGGCCAGTCTACGGTCTCCGCCAGGCACCACGTGAGTGGCACGACACACTGAGGACTACGCTTGCGGCTCTTGGGTTTGCTCCTTCTACTGCTGACCCGTCGCTGTTTCTGCGCACCGACACTTCACTGCCGCCGTTCTACATCCTCGTGTACGTCGACGACTTGGTCTTTGCCACAGCGGACACTGCTGGACTCGCCCACGTGAAGTCCGAACTGCTGAAGAGACACACGTGCACAGACCTGGGTGAACTGCGCAGCTACCTTGGCTTGCAGATCACTCGGGACAGAGCACGCCGCACCATTACCTTGACTCAGTCACACATGGTGCAGCAGGTCCTTCAGCGCTTTGGCTTCACGTACTCCTCGCCTCAGGCCACTCCTCTGCCTACTCGCCACTCACTCTCAGCTCTGCCTTCGGATGAGTCCGTAGAGTCGAGTGGTCCGTATGCAGAGCTTGTTGGCTGCCTCATGTACCTGATGACCTGCACACGACCTGACCTTGCATATCCTCTGAGCATTCTTGCACGCTATGTTGCTCCTGGGAGACACAGACCAGAGCACATGGCTGCAGCGAAGAGGGTATTGCGCTACCTGTGCAGTACGTCGGGCATGGGGCTTGTGCTTGGAGGGCGGAGTCCAGTGGTCCTTACCGGCCACGCGGACGCTTCTTGGGCTGACGACCAGGCTACGCAGCGGTCGTCACAGGGTTACACCTTCAGCCTTGGTTCCGGCTCTGTCTCGTGGCGGTCTACTCGCTCGTCTTCAGTTCTCGGCTCCAGTTGTGAGGCTGAGATCTACGCCGGGGCCATGGCTGCACAGGAGCTTCGCTGGCTCACCTACCTGCTGACTGACCTTGGAGAGCCGCCTCGTTCTCCTCCAGTGCTGTACGTAGACAACAAGGCCATGCTGGCCTTGTGTCGAGAGCAGCGCTTGGAGCACAGAACGAAGCACATTGCTCTCCGCTACTTCCTTGCTCGTGAGCTGCAGCAGCGTGGTCAGTTGCGACTTGCGTACGTGGCCTCTGAGGCCAACACTGCTGATGTGTTCACCAAGGCACTCGCGCCTTGTGACCATCAGCGCTTTTGCACCCAGCTGGGTCTTGTGCCTGTCTTGCCTCACTTGCTCTCCTCTTGACTTCACTTGTACTGTGACATATATATATACCTGCTCTTGCTTGTCTAGTTTTATATATATGTCTGTACTCCTGCATGTGAACTGGCCTCTGGCCCTGCTCTTGTGCTCGGACTGTGTGGTGACTTTGTGATCCACCCTGAGCTTGCTTTGCTTTGCTTGACTGGTCTTGTGACCCCTTGTTCTCCCCCACTTTGCCTATGGGGGTGTGTCAAACATTATATATGTTATGCTTGTGTAGGCTACAGTGGGTTAGCCTATAGGGGGTACACAATTCTAGGGTTTCCTACTTGTACTCATTTCACTGCTAGTTCATTCATTCCTGTTCGCTTATTCTCACAGTAACCTCCCCGTAAATCTATCTTCGAGAACACCCGTGCTGTTCGCAGCTGGTCGATCAGTTCGTCGGCGCGGGGAATGGGGTATCGTGACTTCACTGTAACCCTGTTGAGCGCTCGGTAATCGATGCACATGCGAAACCCTCCATCTTTTTTTGGTGTGAATAGTATCGGTGCGGCGAAAGGGGACGAGCTCGGTCGGATAAACTCCTTCGCTAACAGGTAATCTAACTGCTTCCTTTGTTCGTCGAGCTCCGGCTGTGTCAGTCTGAACTGGCGCTGTACAGTTGGCTGTGCCCCCGGCTCTAACTCTATCCTATGGTCGTGCGCCCGCTGAGGTGGCAGTCCTTCCGGTAAGTCGTCGGGGAAAATCCCCGGGTACCGTTTCAATAGCTCCTGTAGTTCAGGCGGTACCGCTGTCAGCAGTTTCTGAAAATCACTCGGCTGCTCAGCTTCTCCTACCACTGCGATGTCCACTGCATACACGTCAGCTCCAGCGGCGAGTGCCCGTTTCATTGTTATGGCGTTGACGTGGACCGTCGACGACTCAGGCGACTGCCAGCGTGGTAGTTCGACCCAGTTACCACTACTTCGCACGGTGCAGCTGCCTGTCGTCCAGTCGATTCTCGGGTTGTAACGTCGCAACCAATCACGTCCTAGTAAAATGTCGTGCCCATCCAGTGTCGTCGCGAGCATTTCTTGTGTAAACCCGAAGTTCCCTCCGCAGCGAACTTTTACTCTCTCCACCTTCTCCCGTATGGCCAGCGGTGTGCCGTCGACTAAGCGTGCATCAATCTCAGGTAAGCACCGGCTAAGTGTCAGTTGAAGTTTCCGTGCGGTCGCGGTATCAACTAAACTGTGACTAGCTCCTCCGTCGATAAAAATCTTGACTGCTGCTCCCTGTATTTTCCCGTGGATCAGTACTGGGCAATCCGTCGCTGTACCCTCCTTATTCATCCAAGCCCGATCGATAGCGTGGATCGGTACTGTGACTCGGTGAGGGTCGGTGTGGTTGGGCGAGCAGGCAGTCTCGTCAGTAGTCGGCCCAATTTCTACTGACTGCTGGCGTTTCCCTGCCTCTGAGACTCCCTCCCTTGCTCTGCTCCGCGGCGCCTTAGCTCCTCTGGACACTCACTTTTACGATGGCCCGGCCTGTTGCAAGCGAAGCAGCGCCCCTTGAATGGTGCGGCAGCTGCATTCGTCACAACGGCGTGTACAGTGGCGTGCTCGATCGGTCCTCGAGGACGATGTCCGTAGTAGGACCCCGGTCTCGGACGGCGCAAAATGTCGATTTTCTCGGCGATCGCGAGAATCTCGTTGAAATTCGAGAGTCCACGTAGCATTATTTCCTGCGAGATTTCTGGCTTTAGCCCTCCGACGTAACGGTCCACCCGCTCCGCTTCGTGCATGTAGCCGACCTGCTCGCATAATGCGAGAAAACCGCTCGTATAGTCTTGAACCGACCCGAGCTGCCGCCAAGTGCGCAGTTTCTGACGCGCCGAAATAGAAGCCGCGATCGGCTCGAAGCGCGCCCGAATCCCTACGCACCACGCATCCCACGTGCTGTATTGGGCGGTTTCGCAGAATGAAATCCAGTTGACGGCTGGGCCCGCGGGCCCTTCCTCTTGCGACGGTGGCTCGTAGGCGCGTAGCGACGTCACGATGACTCGCCACCAGTCCATAGCGGGGCCCCTCAACAGCGAGACGGCGTATCGTATCTTCGCTGCGTCCGACTCGACGTAGTTCGCGTAAAAAAACACGTTCATCGTGAAGATCCATGACTGAACCGTCGGACCACCACGCTGGCTCGGGTCGAAACAGGGCGGGCGCTGCGGCTTGAGTGGCATCGGCGCCATGATTGCCTGGTCGCCTCTTGTTGCCGCAAACTCCACGTGCCGACGGGCTTCACGAGGCTCCCGTGGGCTTGGTGCGGCCCGGTTTCCTCCCATACCAGGCATTGGCTGGGCGGCGCTGTCACTGGCTGCGCCTGAGCGCTGTCCCACGCTGTCGTGCTGTGTTGGTGTGCCGGACGAGATGAAAATCGGCTCGTCTGACTGTGCAGGTGCATTTTGTGACGCTGGAGCATTCGCCGCAGATTGCTGACGCGCGGAGTCACGTTCTGCCGTGAGCGTCGCAATCTCGAGTGCTGAATCTTCAACTTGACGGATCAGACGGTCAAGCTGCTCTTGTGTCAACGTCGCGAGCGTAAATTCAGCCATGGCGGGGGTGTCGGTCAAGCGTAGCGAGAGCCTCTATCGTGGCCGTGCGTGCTTACGAGAGAGCACTACGAGCGGCGGTGCTTGATCGCTGAGAGACGTCTACCCCCCCCAAAAAATTGAGATAGTGGGGAAACGAAGGTGTGAATGCGGTCCGAGAAGAGATCGTAGGCTCTGAATACCAAGTGTTACGGGTGCAATGGAGTGAGCGAACGAAGATTGCACTATCGAAGCAAGAGTACAATGAGCGAAGGCATGAGCGAAGGATTATATAGCGAAACTATAGTGGTAACGGTAATGGACTGTGGTTGTCGCGCGACGGGCCTGGGACTGAGGTTGGGAAAAGTGTCGAGGCGGAGGTCCGGAGCGCGGGTTACCGCCGAGCCGTGAGGTCGGGGTGCGACATGCGAAAAATGGCGGGCGGATTATTGATGCGAGTGGTAACGGTGCTGACTGAGGTGCTACAGTGATGTACGCGTTGAGCGGGGATGCGAAGTAAGGAAAAGGAATTTTCCTTACATACGGAAAGCAGTCCAAGATATCTTCTTCAAGAACTTTAGTTAAAGATGCCCTTTGGCAGGGGTGACGGTAGAGAGTTAGGCTGGTTTATAACTCCTGATTTCATATATGTTTGGACTACAAATAGGAGAATTCGATTTTACACATTGACTAGATATCTACGGAGTTTCAAGAAGGTTCATCGTCTTTGGCCAACATTACCCAAGAAATCAGATAACCTGCCAATTGAGATAACAGCATACAGTGTAAAACAGCGAGGAGCAGGTTTGTCAGTACAGTCAGAAACACAAAACAGAACATGCATATTCATTCAACTTGGTATCATTATTTGGAAGTGTCATGACATCTTCCATGCAACTCGATACACACCTGATGTCTCTCGAAATGACAGCGCTCCCATCAGCAGAAGACAGGTGCCGCAATTTCACCTCCTCCAACCGCCCGTCCCGATATGCGTGCTGCAAGTGCGAGGTGGTGGGAGGGAGGGAGAGGTTTGGGGGGTGGAGGAGGGAAAAATAGGTACTTTTCAGGCGCTTCATCAGCAATTTCTCCTCCTCCGGCCGCCCGTCCTGATATGCGGGCTGGGAGTGCATGGTGGTCGGGCTGGTGGTGGGAGGAATAGGGGAGGAGAGGAGGGCTTGGAGGAGGGGGGGGGGGAGGGGGAGAATGGAGGGATGGAGAAATAAAATAAATGGAATGGAGAAGGGAGAGGGGTAACCGGAATAAAATAAATGGACAAGGGTGACGGGAAACCAAAACGAACAAACAAGGCAAGTGAGAAAAAAAAGCGAGGGGAAGATTGGGAGTGGGAGAGAGGAGATGAGAAAATGTGTGGGGAACGAAGAGGTGGGAGGCAAGGATACTCATAGGCTAAGGGCAGGAGACAATACAGTGGAACTGAGACCACCGAAGAACGAATATGCAAGGACGAACACACACCTTAAGCAGCGGGTTCCAAACGGAATTTTTAGACGTCAAAAGAGACCGTGTAAGCCGGACCATGACAAGCAAGACAGCAAAGGAGGAGCGAAAGGGCGAGAGACAAGCAGAGACGGCGAGAGAGAAGCACCTTGTAGAAACAGCTGGTGCCGAAGGGGCACTGGCCGTTGCCGTACTTGAAGTAGCGACAGTCAGTGCTCCTGTGGGGGGAGAGAGAGGGGGGAGTAAAGGGGAACAGAACAGGTGCAAAGAGAGGTGGAAGGGGGAGTCGGTGACAGTCTGAGGAAGGAGGATGATGAGAGACGGAGGCACTGGCCGGCCGTTGCCATCGTTGAAGTAGCGAAGCGACAGTCAGTGCTCCTGTGAGGGGGGTGAGAGTGCGACTTTCTCAGTGAGTGTGTTTTAGTTTGCTCAGATGGGCAAGTGTAAGTAGACCTCCAGACTTGTGATGCAGAAAGCGACATTGCGCTCTTGCACACGTTCATAATTGTTTTTGCATGGACGCCGTCAAAAAGTGACTTCCCGACTGCAGCTCGCCCAGTCCACATGGCTGACGCAGTTCACTTTCATCATTGTTTTTGTATGGACGCGTCTGGTTTTGAGTCGACTCAAAACTGACGGTGTTTTTGTATGGACGCGTCTGCGTTTCCCTGCTTCTCCATTGTTCTCCCCCCCACCCTTATCTCCCCCCCCCCACAGGAGCACAGATTGTCGCCACTTCAACTACAGCAACGGCTAAAGAACCAAACCACACTGGGTGTGACAAGGCATAAGCGAGTTGACTTTTGAGTCGACTCAAAAGTCAAACCACACTGGGTGTGACAAGGCATAAGCGAGTTGACTTTTGAGTCGACTCAAAAGTCAAACCACACTGGGTGTGACAAGGCATAAGCGACACCTCCCAAGTAACTCGCAACCCTCCTACTCACCACCAACCACCCCGGTTTCTCACTTGAGCTTCTTCTTGAATCCTTCAATGAGAGCCTGCTTACTCCTCACTGAAGATCCGCACCACACTGGGAATGACAAGACAACCCAATTCACCATGTGCGATACACTCCCCCCCACTCCTCCGACAGAGAAACCACACACACACACTCATACCTTCCTTTCTACTCTCTGCCTTCCCGCCTCTCCCTCACCCCCCCACCCCCCACCCCCCCCCCCCCCCCCTAACCCCCCTCTTGTTCTTACTTGAGCTTCCGCTTGTATCCCTCGATAATAGCCCCCTTCTCCTCCTCGCTAGAGAACCAAACCACACTGGGAGTGACAGGGCTAGAGGGGACATCCCCCAGGTACCTCACAAACCCTCCCACCCCTTTCTCACTTGAGCTTCCGCTTGTATCCCTCGATAATAGCCTGCTTCTCCTCGTCGCTGAAAAACCACACCACACTGGGCGTGACAAAGTGCGATCGCACGCGGCACACGGGGCATGCCCTCACTGCGTTGTCCAGGTCTAACGGGACGGACTCGCCACTCTCCTGCTGGGGGGTAGGGCGGGAGAAAGCAGGGGGTTGAGAACAAGGAGGGAGACAGCAGCACACAGCAGCGGGAGTGACAAAGTGTAACCGCACGCGGCACACGGGGCATGCTCTCTCCGCGTTGTCCAGATCCAAAGGGATCGACTCGCCACTGTCCTGCTGGGGGGTTCACGGGGAGAGGAGAGAGGAGAACAACAGGTGGTTACACTCATGGGACGCGGCACACGGGGCATGCTCTTTCCGCGTTGTCCAAATCCAAAGGGATCGACTCGCCACTCTCCCGCTGGGGCAAGGGAGCGGAACTGGAGGGGCGAGAGAGTACAAGGCAGGTGAGCGCACGTGGCACACGGGGCATGCTGTTGCTGCGTTGTCCAGGTCCTAAGGGGCTTTTGAGACGCCTCAAAATTTACTGCATTGTCCTGTCCAGGTCCAAAAGGACCGACTCGCCACTGTCCTGCTGGGGGGTTGAAGGGGAGCGAAGGATGGATGGTGAGGAGGGAGGGTGGTTGCACACACTTAAGGAACACACACGGCACACACGATTAACCGCTCTCCTTCCCATTCAAGGTGACTTTTGAGTCGACTCAAAGGTGGTTGCACGCACTAAAGGAACACACACGGCACGACACGGCACACACGATTAACTGCTCTCCTTCCCATTCACCAACACTCAAAACACCCACCCGCCCAGCAGCTTCCCAGTTGCGAATGCACTCTCTTCCCCCTCTGTCCCCCCTTGTCCCCCCTGTCCCACCCTCTCCCACCCTCACGCCACACCCACCTGCCTGCCCAGCAGCCGCCAGTTGCGAATGCATGCGCCACACAAGGGGTGGTCGCAGTGGGAGAGGATGCCAAACCACTCACCAACACCTGTATACAAACACTTGATGCCTCTTTCTCCTTCCCTCCCACACACATTCACCCCTTTCCTTCCCTTTCCTTCCCTTTCCCACCCTCACCTGCCCAGCAGCCCGCCAGTTGCGGATGCACGCAACACAGAACGGGTGGTCGCAGTGGGAGAGAATGCCAAACTTGCGATCGGCAGGCCGGGCCTTCCCCAGCACGCGCTCCAGGCACACGCTGCACTCAATCTCTGAGCTCAGCTTTAAGGCTTGCACTTTTCTCTGCAGCCGCATGCACTCTTTCACATGCTCCTCCCGCTCCTGTAGTGTGCGGGTGGGTGGGTGGATGGGTTGTTGGGAGGAGTGGACAATGGGACTCAGACCAAGACAAGATCTTCTCCCCAGCACTCCTTCCAGACACACACTGCACTCATTCGAGCTCAGCTATAGTGCTTGCACCTTGCAGCCGCACGCACTCAGTCATATGCTCCTCCCGCTCCTGTGGTGTGCTGGAGCGGGCAGGAAGGCAGGCCGTTAGGAAAGAGGCGGGGCGAGGGATGGGAGTGGGGACGATGAAAAGAAAGACGAGAGGCAAGAGTGGCATGTCAGCAGGTTGACACAGAAAGTCGCTTACTGTGGGACGAGCAGGGTGCAGGCTGTAGCGGCGCAGTGGGCGCAGAGGTCCCCGTGGGGGGAGGGTAAGGGGGTGGGTGGGGGAAGGGAGGGGAGGGAGGGGAGGGAGAGATTCGCACGAAATGCAATGCAGTGCGGGCAGGAGAACAGGGGGAGGTTGGGCACAACGGCACAGAAAGACACTCACCGTGGGTCGAGCAGGGTGCAGGCAGTAGCGGCCGCAGTGGGGGCAGAGGTCCCCGTGGGGGAAGGGGCAGGAGGGGCCGCGGGCACAGCAGGCGCCTGAAGCAGCCTCCACTCGAGGCAGCGTGCAGAGCGGCATGTCAGGTTTGTCAAGCCTGTCAGCCAAAGAGGCACTGTACCCGCTGCTGTTGCTGCCACCACCACTGCTGTTGTTGCCTGACAACGCAGGGACACTACCACCATTAGCAGCATCGGCAGCGTTTGCACTGTAACCACCATACCCACCATTCCCGCGATAGCCACTGTAACCAGCATAGGCAGCAGCATAACCACCAGGATCGTCGTAACCAGCAGAGTAATCAACAGGGAACCGCCCAGCAGCAGAAGGCTTGCCTACAGGGTCAAGCACTTGGGTTCCAATGTCTGATCGATCACCACCAGCGGCCACAGATGCTACAGAGGCTGCAGGTGCTAACGATACAGCAGCAGGAGCTGTCGCTGCTGCTGCAGCAGCTGCTGAGAAAGCAGGAGCTGCAGATGCTGCTGAGGTTTCAGGAGCCGAAGTGGCTGCAGCAGCACCAGCACCAGCAGCAACAGGAGAAGCACCAGCAGCAGAACCAGGACTCTCCTCATCCATGAGAGCGATAAGCCCTATTCTCAGAGCAGCTGCCTGAGCAGAGAAGTCACTCGCCTCTCTCACAAAGTCCTCAAACTCCTCCTCACTCGCAAACCCCGCTCCCCCCTCCGCTGCCCACACGCCCTGCTGCTGCGGCTCCTCCTCCTCGACCTCACACTCAAACCCCAGCTCCTCCTCCCCAAACGGGTCACTCACTAGCGAATCACTCACTAACGAGTCCTTCTCCACCCACACACTCTGCTGCGGCCCTTGCAACACAGAACCCAGCTCTCCCCCCACTTGATCTGTCCCACCCATGCGCATTCCCCCACCCTCGGGCCCTGTTATTCCCCCTTGTTCTCTCTCTACAAACCCCAATACAGCTGCATTTCCTCTCTGGTTCACCCCACTCCCTCCACCGCTACTCATGCGCATCACAGGAAGCCCCTCGTCGAACAGATCGCTCGCAGATCGCGGCAGCCAATCTGGACCGTCCAATGAGCTCCCCGACGCATCTCGCTCGAATATTGCCTCGGGGGAGAGAGCAGGGTCGTATTGGGGCATGGCGGCTGCAGCGGAAGAGGGGTGGGCGTAGCTGTACCCGGAAACGAGTCCGTTTGTAACGGGTATAGTCCCTGTAATGGGTATAGAGGCTTGTGCGCGTTCTGCGTAGTACTGGGCTGGGGTGTAGAGGCCGGAACGGTTACGGATGACAGCGGTGGTAACCGGTACTGCTGCTGCTGCAGCAGCAGAAGGGGCAGTTGCAGCAGCAGTAGTAAGAGCGGCAGCAGAACCATCACCAGAAGCAGCAGAAGCAGCAGCAGCACGAGCAGCAGCGGGAGGGTGGAAAGCAGGCGCGGTGGGGGTCAACCTAGAAGATGGGAGGGACGAAGAGGATGTATTCACGACTGCTGACGTGGAGGAGCCTGTTGATTGGCTGGATGGAACAAAGGGGGCGGCAGCAGCAGAGGGGAGGAAGGGAGAGGCGGAGACAGAGAGCGGGGTAGAGGAGGAGGAGGAGGGAGTAGCAGAAACAGAAAGACGGGTGGTGGAGGAGTGAGTGGTGGAAGCAGAGGAGAGGGAGGGAGCAGTGAAGGGAGAGGAGGCGGAGGAAGAGGAAGTGGGGCGGACAGGAACGGGGGAGTGATGAAAAGGCGTGGTGACAGGAGGTGTGGATGGGTATGGGGGTCCACTGGCGGGGTACTGAGGTGTTGCATTAGAGCTGCCAGCGGTAGCGGAAGCAGCTGCGGTTTGGGGCTGAAGGGAAGGCCAGGAGGAGGAGGAGAGGGAGGAGAGAGAATCAGCAGCAGGACTGGAAGCCGCTCTAACAGAACCGTTGCTAGTGAAGGCTGCACCCTTGCTAGTGGCGGTTACACCGTTACCAGTGACCCTACTAGCCCCAGTGCTGCTGCTGCTGCTACTGCCTGTGAGTCTGCTACTCCCGTTATTGCTGCTCACAGTGCTCCCACTGCTGCTGCTGACACCTCTGCTGGCGCTGCTGCTGCTGCTGCTGCTGCTGCTGCTGCTGCTGCTGCTGCTGCTGCTGCTGCTGCTGCTGCTGCTGCTGCTAGTGGTAGTGGCGGCAGCAAGCGGGGCAGCAGTGGGACGTGAGGGGGAAGCAGAGGGAAGTGCGGACGCACCAGCAGCGCGGGCGGGGGAAACAGAGGGGAGACTGGGTGCAAAACTCGGTTGTGTGGGTGGGACAGTGGCGGGTGGTGGAGCAGGAACGGCGGTAGCGGAGGAGGGTTTGGGCTTGACATGGTCGTAGCGGCAGCGATCGCCGTAGGAGCAGACGCCACGCTGGTAGAACACACACGCCTGAAGTGGAGGGGAGAAGCACAAAACGGGCGGAGGAGGAGTGGGACATGGAGAGGAACAGCTGGGTGTGTATGTGTGTGTGGGTGTGTGAGAGTGTGGATGTGTGGTTGCGTGTGTGTGGTGTGGGTATGTGGGTGTGTGGATATGTGGGTGTGTGGGTGTGAGGGAGTATGGGCGCAAGAGAGCGGATGCTGGAACGAGATGAAAAGGGTGTGGGAGCGGCAGGTATGTAAGCATGAAGTGAGGTTGTTGCAGCATTAATAATCATATGGTGCAAGCCCGATCAATCAAACACCGAACACACAGTGAAAGGAGGTGACAGAACAGGGTGTGGCAAGGAGGTGACAGGGACAGGGGGTAACAAGGAGGTGACAGAACAGGGGTTGACAAAAACGGGGGATGACAAGATGGAGGATGACGGAACAGAGGCCGCACCATGTTAGGTTTGTCTTTCCAATTGTGGGAAAAGGGACAACTGTCCCCTCTACTGCATGCTCCATTAACGAAGTACTTGCACAAAACTCTGGGGAAAAAAACATGTCAAAAGATGAAATGAGCCGAATTTCACATGCGAAAGCGAGAACGAATGCCCAAGCGATGCCAGACGAAGCGTATGAACCGAAAAGAGGTACATTCAATAAAAAAGACGTCTCGAAATGTGACCGAGGATGAAAACGGAGCCACCAAGAACCGAGGTGACGATAAGACGACCCTTGCTGTTATGCGTTAAAGGTACTAAAACCAGGTTCAGCTAGATAGCAACTATGGAAGAACGGAAAGCACCAGCACCACTGCGTCGCTCATACTAATGAAATCAAGAGATGTACTGCGTTAAGCTAACTGTCACTAGCTGACCTAAATCGCTCGCGTAATGGCTTTGGGGTCGGAACAGGAAGCCTCAGAACTTGGAAAAAAAAAAATGCGAAGAAAATCGGAGTGCAACTCCACTAATAGCGTTCTAGCGTCACGTGGAGCCCGTGCAGCCACGCGTGTTGACGAGAACGACCTCTAAGCATTATACGTAGTGTATCACGCCTAGCAGACGCACCCACCTATTCGTCATCGGTTCGAGAACAACCCGATGGGTCAAGAAACGGCTGCTTCAAGCTGCCAACAGTTGCGTCTAAGCATGAAAAGGGAATCAAAAGTTGACAGCTTGGAAAAAGTAAGGACGCACAGGAGCTAATGTAAACGCGGGATCCAAAAAGCTGAGTTACCGTAAATGAGAGAGGAGATGCTTCGAGAGCGTACAGAGGAAAGAAAGCGAAGTGATTTGGCTTGGCTTGAGATTTGAGGTTCAAAAGCGAATCGAAGCAGGCTTGAAAGGAAATCCCAAGGCCACGGACCGAGTTGGTAGGGATGAGGTGTAGATGGAGAAGGTAAACTTACCCGCTATTGAGAGAGCTTCTGCTGGGACTTGTTCGAGGTATCTCTGTAACGACTGAGATTGCAAGTGGAAATTAATGCATCCAAACAAAGTTCAGACTAGAAATCTAGGATCCGTCTGCATTATGTTACAACAAAGATTCGTGAACTTCAGACATGAAATTCTTAAAAGTATGCGAAATGGTTCATAACATATCTATAACAGCTGGTTGCTGCTCTAACTATCAAGTTGCTTTATTACGACTGAATTTCCTCACTTATTTGTAATTCTATTAGCACTTGTCAATCACAGTCAGCAAATTTAATACTAATGCACATTCCAACTTCCACATTAAAAAAAAAGGAATGTATGACACTACTGCAGAACTTCCCCTTGAATATGCAACTACATTACGTTGCAAATTATAGTGATCTCTCAATCCCAAGATGTTTAGCCTATTACATCCAGCCACACCCCATAGTCTATCCAATCGGGGATGTTAGATTACTACATAGCCCCACAGATCAGAGAGGTAGGCAGTCCGTTCAGCCCGACCAGACCATAGGCTGGTTAGTCCGTTCCATACGCCCTATAGCGGGTCAAGGTTATATCATTCAACAGCCGTGCTTTCCGCCGTTGGCGTTTTTGGATCTTTTGGGCTTATCCCTACAGTCTTGGTCCCTTTTGTGTCGTTTTGTTCTGACGCACAAAGAGTCGTAGCATTGTGAGAGCAACGGTATGCCGCGCGGGAAGGAACAGTACGACGATGACGATTGGGACGACGGATACGACGATGATGACTATGACGAGGACGAGGACGACTATGACGAGTACGAGGAGGCAGGCCGGCTGCAGGCGAAATCCCAGAAAGGTGGAAAGCAACAACCGCAACCGGCGAAGCAACCACAAGCGAAGCAGCCACAAGCGAAGCAATCAGCTCAGCAGAAATCGCAGCAGAAGCAGCCGGGGGGAAAGGCTGGATCCAAGTCACCCGCTACTACCCCGAGCAAAGCGGAAAACCCTCCCACTGACGCCCCAGTTTCTGGGGGGTCCGCCGCCAAGGGCGGATCCGCAGCGACCGGCGGCGGCGCCGGTGGAACATGGAGGTGCGCGGCTTGCACGTTCGACAACCCGCCGCTCTTCCTCGCGTGCGACGTCTGCAGTGCCGCCAAACCCGCTCAACAAGGTATGCCATGGCTGGTGCACATTCCGAAATCCACCCGCTCTTCCTTTCATGCGACGTGTGTAGCGCCGCCAGACCAGCCGTTGATGCTGCTGCGGAACAAGGTATGCTGTGGCTGGTTACTGGGCTATGTGCTGCTGGTCGCATCATGGAACTGTGGAATGTGGAGGTTTGTCTTTAAATTCGCGCACTAGCTGCGTGTACCAGCTCCTTCCCCTTTTGCTCTGCCTGTGTGCCGACACGTCACACACGGAGGGGGCAAGGGAGAGAGAGAGGGTGAGAGGGCCGTTTGAGGAGAGGGTGAGTTGGGACGGCGAGAGAGAGGGCGAGAGGGGACGGGGAGAGAGAGGGAGGGGCAAAACTTCTCCATGTATCAAAACCGCGTAAATCCACTACAAGCTGGTGCCTCTGCTCCTACTCCCGCCCCTCCTTTGATGAGTCGATTTTTGAGTTGACTAAAAAAACTTCTCCATGTATCAAAACCGCGTATATCCAGTACAAGCTGGTGCCTCCGCTCCTGCTCCCGCCCCTCCTGTGCTGCTGCCTGTGTGCAGGCACACACACGGAGGGGCCACGGGGGCGAGAGAGGCACCAGGCGCACCAGTCTCCCTTACGGCCACAGCCGCACACGCGATCTTCCACTGAGTCAGAAAGAGAGAGCGATCCGACCAAGGGGATCAGCCTAAATCAGGTCCACCTTCCCCAAGTACCGCCTCTGGGCCTGAATTCCAGGTCCAGCCTCCCCCAGGTGTCACCTCTGGGTGCAAGCCTTGCTGCCCCTGCCCCGCGCTGCCGGCGCAAGCAGGGGCATGGGAGGGTGAGCAGGGGGAGTGCGGAGGCGGGGAGGGGTGCGTGTGTGCTGCTGCAGCAGTCCTCTGAGGGACAGAAGCCACTTGGCGTGCTCCCATTGGCCCGAGTGCCTTGGGTGCTGAAAGCGGCAGGGGAGATGAGAATAGGTGGGGTGGGGGATTTTTCATTTTTTGCTTCTTTCTTTTGTGAGGGATGAGACACATGAGGAGGAAACGCTTTTGTGGAATGCAGATCTCTTTTTTTTTTGTGGGGGGAGGAGGGGAGGATAAACTTCCGTTAGAATAGAACTGTTCTCTCTCCACTCCCCTCAGAACCGTTTTATAGAATAATACAACAATCTCCCACTCTCTCCCTTTGTCTTTCCTCCTCCTTCTCCCTTCCCCTCAGAGCCGTTTGATTTCTCCACTCCTTCACCTGATGATGCCATCCAATCCGCCCTGAAAGGAGGACACGTGGCACCACGTGCTGTTGCCACGTCAGCAGCCGTGCCAGCTTCCTCGGCTGCAACCGCAGCAGTGAAGAACGCCAACAGCAGCAGCCGTGCATCCAGCTCAGCATCCCCTGCTGCTGACGTGGCAGCTGGCGTTGGGAAAATGCAGATCGCAGAAGGAAGCAAGAAGGAAGCTTCGCCCAGTGCTTCTAGAGCTGGCACAACCGTTACAACCGCTACAGCTGCCACAGCCGCTGCAGTTGGAGGAGAGGGAGGAGGGGAGGGCAAGGGAGGGGAGGGCAAGGGAGGGGAGGATGAGGAGGCGAGGAGACGGAGGGCTCTAGAGGCGTATGAGGCAGAAGGGTGGATTAAAGAAGGGATGGAAGGAGGAGATGGGAAGCCGACTCTGCACCTCATTGTGGTGAGTGGAAAGGGTTGGTAAGGGATGGCTTTTGAGGCGCCTCAAAAGCCGACTCTGCACCTCATTGTGGTGAGTGGAAAGGGTTGGTAAGGGATGGCTTTTGAGGCGCCTCAAAAGCCGACTCTGCACCTCATTGTGGTGAGTGGAAAGGGTTGGTAAGGGATGGCTTTTGAGGCGCCTCAAAAGCCGACTCTGCACCTCATTGTGGTGAGTGGAAAGGGTTGGTAAGGGATGGCTTTTGAGGCGCCTCAAAAGCCGACTCTGCACCTCATTGTGGTGAGTGGAAAGGGTTGGTAAGGGATGGCTTTTGAGGCGCCTCAAAAGCCGACTCTGCACCTCATTGTGGTGAGTGGAAAGGGTTGGTAAGGGATGGCTTTTGAGGCGCCTCAAAAGCCGACTCTGCACCTCATTGTGGTGAGTGGAAAGGGTTGGTAAGGGATGGCTTTTGAGGCGCCTCAAAAGCCGACTCTGCACCTCATTGTGGTGAGTGGAAAGGGTTGGTAAGGGATGGCTTTTGAGGCGCCTCAAAAGCCGACTCTGCACCTCATTGTGGTGAGTGGAAAGGGTTGGTAAGGGATGGCTTTTGAGGCGCCTCAAAAGCCGACTCTGCACCTCATTGTGGTGAGTGGAAAGGGTTGGTAAGGGATGGCTTTTGAGGCGCCTCAAAAGCCGACTCTGCACCTCATTGTGGTGAGTGGAAAGGGTTGGTAAGGGATGGCTTTTGAGGCGCCTCAAAAGCCGACTCTGCACCTCATTGTGGTGAGTGGAAAGGGTTGGTAAGGGATGGCTTTTGAGGCGCCTCAAAAGCCGACTCTGCACCTCATTGTGGTGAGTGGAAAGGGTTGGTAAGGGATGGCTTTTGAGGCGCCTCAAAAGCCGACTCTGCACCTCATTGTGGTGAGTGGAAAGGGTTGGTAAGGGATGGCTTTTGAGGCGCCTCAAAAGCCGACTCTGCACCTCATTGTGGTGAGTGGAAAGGGTTGGTAAGGGATGGCTTTTGAGGCGCCTCAAAAGCCGACTCTGCACCTCATTGTGGTGAGTGGAAAGGGTTGGTAAGGGATGGCTTTTGAGGCGCCTCAAAAGCCGACTCTGCACCTCATTGTGGTGAGTGGAAAGGGTTGGTAAGGGATGGAGATAGGTGGAGTGGGAAGGAGGGAGGGCTTTAGAGGCGTATGAGGCGGAGGGGTGGATCAAATCAAAGTGGGGCTGGAAGGAGGAGATGGGAAGCCTTCACTACTCACCAACGTGCTTACGCACCCTCCCTTTCTCTCCCCCCCCCCCCCCCCCCCCCCCCCCCCCTCCCTGCACGCACTGCAGCTGGGTCATGTGGATGTGGGCAAGTCGACCATCATGGGCCACTTGCTGCACAAGCTGGGGCGGGTATCAAACAAGGAGATGCATTGAGTGCAGAATGACTGTCCTGCCCTGTGACCCGGTGTGTTTTGAGTCGACTCAAAACACACCTGAGTGCAGAATGACTGTCCTGCCCTGTGACCCGGTGTGTTTTGAGTCGACTCAAAACACACCTGAGTGCAGAATGACTGTCCTGCCCTGTGACCCGGTGTGTTTTGAGTCGACTCAAAACACACCTGAGTGCAGAATGACTGTCCTGCCCTGTGACCCGGTGTGTTTTGAGTCGACTCAAAACACACCTGAGTGCAGAATGACTGTCCTGCCCTGTGACCCGGTGTGTTTTGAGTCGACTCAAAACACACCTGAGTGCAGAATGACTGTCCTGCCCTGTGACCCGGTGTGTTTTGAGTCGACTCAAAACACACCTGAGTGCAGAATGACTGTCCTGCCCTGTGACCCGGTGTGTTTTGAGTCGACTCAAAACACACCTGAGTGCAGAATGACTGTCCTGCCCTGTGACCCGGTGTGTTTTGAGTCGACTCAAAACACACCTGAGTGCAGAATGACTGTCCTGCCCTGTGACCCGGTGTGTTTTGAGTCGACTCAAAACACACCTGAGTGCAGAATGACTGTCCTGCCCTGTGACCCGGTGTGTTTTGAGTCGACTCAAAACACACCTGAGTGCAGAATGACTGTCCTGCCCTGTGACCCGGTGTGTTTTGAGTCGACTCAAAACACACCTGAGTGCAGAATGACTGTCCTGCCCTGTGACCCGGTGTGTTTTGAGTCGACTCAAAACACACCTGAGTGCAGAATGACTGTCCTGCCCTGTGACCCGGTGTGTTTTGAGTCGACTCAAAACACACCTGAGTGCAGAATGACTGTCCTGCCCTGTGACCCGGTGTGTTTTGAGTCGACTCAAAACACACCTGAGTGCAGAATGACTGTCCTGCCCTGTGACCCGGTGTGTTTTGAGTCGACTCAAAACACACCTGAGTGCAGAATGACTGTCCTGCCCTGTGACCCGGTGTGTTTTGAGTCGACTCAAAACACACCTGAGTGCAGAATGACTGTCCTGCCCTGTGACCCGGTGTGTTTTGAGTCGACTCAAAACACACCTGAGTGCAGAATGACTGTCCTGCCCTGTGACCCGGTGTGTTTTGAGTCGACTCAAAACACACCTGAGTGCAGAATGACTGTCCTGCCCTGTGACCCGGTGTGTTTTGAGTCGACTCAAAACACACCTGAGTGCAGAATGACTGTCCTGCCCTGCCCTGTGACCCTCATTCCTCTCCACACCCCCGCTGACAGCTGGGTCACGTGGATGCGGGGAAATCGACCATAATGGGCCACCTGTTGCACAAGCTGGGGCGAGTGAGCAACAAGGAGATGCATCGAGTGCAGAGGGACGCTGCCAACCAGGGCAAGGGGTCGTTTGCATTCGCGTGGGTGCTGGATGAGAGCAGCGAGGAGCGCGCCAGGGGAGTCACCATGTCCGTGGCCATGTCGAGATTCGAGACGCCAAAGTGAGTGCTGGTGCGGGGGTGATTGGTGGGTGCGCCCTGGTGATTGGAGCTTGGAAGCACTTACAGTGGCCTGGCCAGGGCAAGGGGTCGTTTGCATTCGCGTGGGTGCTGGATGAGAGCAGCGAGGAGCGGGCGAGAGGGGTTACCATGGCCGTGGCTATGTCAAGATTCGAGGCGCCAAAGTGAGTGTGGGTGTGGGTGTGCCCAGGTGTTTTTAAGCACCTAGAGCAACTGGTCAACCAGGGCAAGGGGTCGTTTGCGTTCGCGTGGGTGCTGGACGAGAGGATTGAGGAGCAGGTGAGAGGAGTGACCATGTCTGTTTGGGTGTGCGTGATGCCAAAGTGAGTGTGTTTGGGTGTGCATGATGCCAAAGTGAGTGTGTTTGGGTGTGCATGATGCCAAAGTGAGTGTGTTTGGGTGTGCATGATGCCAAAGTGAGTGTGTTTGGGTGTGCATGATGCCAAAGTGAGTGTGTTTGGGTGTGCATGATGCCAAAGTGAGTGTGTTTGGGTGTGCGTGATGCCAAAGTGAGTGTGTTTGGGTGTGCATGATGCCAAAGTGAGTGTGTTTGGGTGTGCATGATGCCAAAGTGAGTGTGTTTGGGTGTGCATGATGCCAAAGTGAGTGTGTTTGGGTGTGCATGATGCCAAAGTGAGTGTGTTTGGGTGTGCGTGATGCCAAAGTGAGTGTGTTTGGGTGTGCATGATGCCAAAGTGAGTGTGTTTGGGTGTGCATGATGCCAAAGTGAGTGTGTTTGGGTGTGCATGATGCCAAAGTGAGTGTGTTTGGGTGTGCATGATGCCAAAGTGAGTGTGTTTGGGTGTGCGTGATGCCAAAGTGAGTGTGTTTGGGTGTGCATGATGCCAAAGTGAGTGTGTTTGGGTGTGCATGATGCCAAAGTGAGTGTGTTTGGGTGTGCATGATGCCAAAGTGAGTGTGTTTGGGTGTGCATGATGCCAAAGTGAGTGTGTTTGGGTGTGCATGATGCCAAAGTGAGTGTGTTTGGGTGTGCGTGATGCCAAAGTGAGTGTGTTTGGGTGTGCATGATGCCAAAGTGAGTGTGTTTGGGTGTGCATGATGCCAAAGTGAGTGTGTTTGGGTGTGCATGATGCCAAAGTGAGTGTGTTTGGGTGTGCGTGATGCCAAAGTGAGTGTGTTTGGGTGTGCATGATGCCAAAGTGAGTGTGTTTGGGTGTGCATGATGCCAAAGTGAGTGTGTTTGGGTGTGCATGATGCCAAAGTGAGTGTGTTTGGGTGTGCATGATGCCAAAGTGAGGGTGTTTGGGTGTGCATGATGCCAAAGTGAGTGTGTTTGGGTGTGCATGATGCCAAAGTGAGTGTGTTTGGGTGTGCATGATGCCAAAGTGAGTGTGTTTGGGTGTGCATGATGCCAAAGTGAGTGTGTTTGGGTGTGCGTGATGCCAAAGTGAGTGTGTTTGGGTGTGCATGATGCCAAAGTGAGTGTGTTTGGGTGTGCATGATGCCAAAGTGAGTGTGTTTGGGTGTGCATGATGCCAAAGTGAGTGTGTTTGGGTGTGCGTGATGCCAAAGTGAGTGTGTTTGGGTGTGCATGATGCCAAAGTGAGTGTGTTTGGGTGTGCATGATGCCAAAGTGAGTGTGTTTGGGTGTGCATGATGCCAAAGTGAGTGTGTTTGGGTGTGCATGATGCCAAAGTGAGTGTGTTTGGGTGTGCGTGATGCCAAAGTGAGTGTGTTTGGGTGTGCATGATGCCAAAGTGAGTGTGTTTGGGTGTGCATGATGCCAAAGTGAGGGTGTTTGGGTGTGCATGATGCCAAAGTGAGGGTGTTTGGGTGTGCATGATGCCAAAGTGAGTGTGTTTGGGTGTGCATGATGCCAAAGTGAGTGTGTTTGGGTGTGCATGATGCCAAAGTGAGTGTGTTTGGGTGTGCGTGATGCCAAAGTGAGTGTGTTTGGGTGTGCATGATGCCAAAGTGAGTGTGTTTGGGTGTGCATGATGCCAAAGTGAGTGTGTTTGGGTGTGCATGATGCCAAAGTGAGGGTGTTTGGGTGTGCATGATGCCAAAGTGAGTGTGTTTGGGTGTGCATGATGCCAAAGTGAGTGTGTTTGGGTGTGCATGATGCCAAAGTGAGTGTGTTTGGGTGTGCATGATGCCAAAGTGAGTGTGTTTGGGTGTGCATGATGCCAAAGTGAGTGTGTTTGGGTGTGCATGATGCCAAAGTGAGTGTGTTTGGGTGTGCGTGATGCCAAAGTGAGTGTGTTTGGGTGTGCATGATGCCAAAGTGAGTGTGTTTGGGTGTGCATGATGCCAAAGTGAGTGTGTTTGGGTGTGCATGATGCCAAAGTGAGTGTGTTTGGGTGTGCATGATGCCAAAGTGAGTGTGTTTGGGTGTGCATGATGCCAAAGTGAGTGTGTTTGGGTGTGCATGATGCCAAAGTGAGTGTGTTTGGGTGTGCATGATGCCAAAGTGAGTGTGTTTGGGTGTGCATGATGCCAAAGTGAGTGTGTTTGGGTGTGCATGATGCCAAAGTGAGTGTGTTTGGGTGTGCATGATGCCAAAGTGAGTGTGTTTGGGTGTGCATGATGCCAAAGTGAGTGTGTTTGGGTGTGCATGATGCCAAAGTGAGTGTGTTTGGGTGTGCATGATGCCAAAGTGAGTGTGTTTGGGTGTGCGTGATGCCAAAGTGAGTGTGTTTGGGTGTGCATGATGCCAAAGTGAGTGTGTTTGGGTGTGCATGATGCCAAAGTGAGTGTGTTTGGGTGTGCATGATGCCAAAGTGAGTGTGTTTGGGTGTGCATGATGCCAAAGTGAGTGTGTTTGGGTGTGCATGATGCCAAAGTGGGTGTGTTTGGGTGTGCATGATGCCAAAGTGAGTGTGTTTGGGTGTGCATGATGCCAAAGTGAGTGTGTTTGGGTGTGCATGATGCCAAAGTGAGTGTGTTTGGGTGTGCATGATGCCAAAGTGAGTGTGTTTGGGTGTGCATGATGCCAAAGTGAGTGTGTTTGGGTGTGCATGATGCCAAAGTGAGTGTGTTTGGGTGTGCATGATGCCAAAGTGGGTGTGTTTGGGTGTGCATGATGCCAAAGTGAGTGTGTTTGGGTGTGCATGATGCCAAAGTGGGTGTGTTTGGGTGTGCATGATGCCAAAGTGGGTGTGTTTGGGTGTGCATGATGCCAAAGTGAGTGTGTTTGGGTGTGCGTGATGCCAAAGTGAGTGTGTTTGGGTGTGCATGATGCCAAAGTGAGTGTGTTTGGGTGTGCATGATGCCAAAGTGAGTGTGTTTGGGTGTGCATGATGCCAAAGTGGGTGTGTTTGGGTGTGCATGATGCCAAAGTGGGTGTGTTTGGGTGTGCATGATGCCAAAGTGAGTGTGTTTGGGTGTGCGTGATGCCAAAGTGAGTGTGTTTGGGTGTGCATGATGCCAAAGTGAGTGTGTTTGGGTGTGCATGATGCCAAAGTGAGTGTGTTTGGGTGTGCATGATGCCAAAGTGGGTGTGTTTGGGTGTGCATGATGCCAAAGTGGGTGTGTTTGGGTGTGAATGATGGGTGTACCCGGGAGGGAACCAACCACCCCACCCACAAGAGAAATGAGGACAGAGCAGTGAGGGCATGGTCGTTTGCGTTTGCGTGGGTGCTGGACGAGAGCAGTGAGGAGCGCACCAGGGGGGTGACCATGTCTGTGGCCATGTCCCGATTCGAGACGCCAAAGTGAGTGTGGGTGGGTGTGTTTTCTGTCCCGAAGAAGGATGGCTAGCTAGGGTGTGTCGCAATGGGCTGGGTAAGAGCAGTGGTCCGTCCAGGGCAAGGGGTCGTTTGCTTTCGCGTGGGTGCTGGACGAGAGCAGCGAGGAGCGCACCAGGGGCGAGAGGCGAGACGAGACCATGTCCGTCGCGATGTCAAGATTCGAGACGCCCATGTCAGTGGTGGTGTGCATTGTGTGTGGGGGCATTGGGCGCCAGTCACCATGTGATGAGTGGATTTTTGAGTCGACTAAAAAATCGACACATCACACGCAGATTCGAGACGCCCAGGTCAGTGGTTGTATGCATTGTGTTGTGTGTGAGTGAGGGCATTGGGCATTGGGCATTGGGCATTGGGCATTGGGCATTGGGCATTGGGCATTGGGCATTGGGCATTGGGCATTGGGCATTGGGCATTGTACGCAATTGAGTCACCATGCCCACGGCCATGTCTAGACGCAATTGAGTCACCATGCCCACGGCCATGTCTAGATGCAATTGAGTCACCATGCCCACGGCCATGTCTAGACGCAATTGAGTCACCATGCCCACGGCCATGTCTAGACGCAATTGAGTCACCATGCCCACGGCCATGTCTAGACGCAATTGAGTCACCATGCCCACGGCCATGTCTAGACGCAATTGAGTCACCATGCCCACGGCCATGTCTAGACGCAATTGAGTCACCATGCCCACGGCCATGTCTAGACGCAATTGAGTCACCATGCCCACGGCCATGTCTAGACGCAATTGAGTCACCATGCCCACGGCCATGTCTAGACGCAATTGAGTCACCATGCCCACGGCCATGTCTAGACGCAATTGAGTCACCATGCCCACGGCCATGTCTAGACGCAATTGAGTCACCATGCCCACGGCCATGTCTAGACGCAATTGAGTCACCATGCCCACGGCCATGTCTAGACGCAATTGAGTCACCATGCCCACGGCCATGTCTAGACGCAATTGAGTCACCATGCCCACGGCCATGTCTAGACGCAATTGAGTCACCATGCCCACGGCCATGTCTAGACTGCAATTGAGTCACCATGCCCACGGCCATGTCTAGACGCAATTGAGTCACCATGCCCACGGCCATGTCTAGACGCAATTGAGTCACCATGCCCACGGCCATGTCTAGACGCAATTGAGTCACCATGCCCACGGCCATGTCTAGACGCAATTGAGTCACCATGCCCACGGCCATGTCTAGACGCAATTGAGTCACCATGCCCACGGCCATGTCTAGACGCAATTGAGTCACCATGCCCACGGCCATGTCTAGACGCAATTGAGTCACCATGCCCACGGCCATGTCTAGACGCAATTGAGTCACCATGCCCACGGCCATGTCTAGACGCAATTGAGTCACCATGCCCACGGCCATGTCTAGACGCAATTGAGTCACCATGCCCACGGCCATGTCTAGACGCAATTGAGTCACCATGCCCACGGCCATGTCTAGATGCAATTGAGTCACCATGCCCACGGCCATGTCTAGACGCAATTGAGTCACCATGCCCACGGCCATGTCTAGACGCAATTGAGTCACCATGCCCACGGCCATGTCTAGACGCAATTGAGTCACCATGCCCACGGCCATGTCTAGACGCAATTGAGTCACCATGCCCACGGCCATGTCTAGACGCAATTGAGTCACCATGCCCACGGCCATGTCTAGACGCAATTGAGTCACCATGCCCACGGCCATGTCTAGACGCAATTGAGTCACCATGCCCACGGCCATGTCTAGACGCAATTGAGTCACCATGCCCACGGCCATGTCTAGACGCAATTGAGTCACCATGCCCACGGCCATGTCTAGACGCAATTGAGTCACCATGCCCACGGCCATGTCTAGACGCAATTGAGTCACCATGCCCACGGCCATGTCTAGATGCAATTGAGTCACCATGCCCACGGCCATGTCTAGACGCAATTGAGTCACCATGCCCACGGCCATGTCTAGACGCAATTGAGTCTAGACGCAATTGAGTCACCATGCCCACGGCCATGTCTAGACGCAATTGAGTCACCATGCCCACGGCCATGTCTAGACGCAATTGAGTCACCATGCCCACGGCCATGTCTAGACGCAATTGAGTCACCATGCCCACGGCCATGTCTAGACGCAATTGAGTCACCATGCCCACGGCCATGTCTAGACGCAATTGAGTCACCATGCCCACGGCCATGTCTAGACGCAATTGAGTCACCATGCCCACGGCCATGTCTAGACGCAATTGAGTCACCATGCCCACGGCCATGTCTAGACGCAATTGAGTCACCATGCCCACGGCCATGTCTAGACGCAATTGAGTCACCATGCCCACGGCCATGTCTAGACGCAATTGAGTCACCATGCCCACGGCCATGTCTAGACGCAATTGAGTCACCATGCCCACGGCCATGTCTAGACGCAATTGAGTCACCATGCCCACGGCCATGTCTAGACGCAATTGAGTCACCATGCCCACGGCCATGTCTAGACGCAATTGAGTCACCATGCCCACGGCCATGTCTAGACGCAATTGAGTCACCATGCCCACGGCCATGTCTAGACGCAATTGAGTCACCATGCCCACGGCCATGTCTAGACGCAATTGAGTCCCCAAAGTGAGTGCATGCAAGACCCCATAGTGAGTGCACGTGCTTAGGGTTACCAGGACTCACTGAATCCTCACCCAACCCTTCCCCCACCCCCCCTTGTCACCAGGTTCAACATGGTTCTGCTAGATGCCCCGGGGTCACAGCGACTTTGGTATCACCCCCTCCTCCTCCCCCCCCCCCTCTCTCACCCTTGCCCCTCCCTCCACACCCCCCCTCCACCCCCGACGTCCACCTCCTCCCTGCATCGCCAGGCTGAACGTGGTTCTGCTAGATGCCCTGGGGCACAGGGACAAACCCCGCCAGGGGGGCCACAGGGACTTTGTAACCAACCCCACTCCTCTCACCGCTCCCAGTCTCTCCATCCATACCCCCCTCTCCCGCCCCCCCCCCTGGCGTCACCAGGCTGAACGTGGTTCTGCTAGATGCCCCGGGGCACAGGGACTTGGTACCGTCCATGATTGCTGGCACTGCACAGGTGAGTATGAAGAGGAGTGGGAGAGGTAAGCTGGGGGCTTGCTTGGGGTTTTGAGGCGTCTCAGTGTTTGGTCACCGGCCGGGACTTGGTACCGTCCATGATTGCTGGCACTGCACAGGTGAGTATGAAGAGGAGTGGGAGAGGTAAGCTGGGGGCTTGCTTGGGGTTTTGAGGCGTCTCAGCGTTTGGTCACCGGCCGGGACTTGGTACCGTCCATGATTGCTGGCACTGCACAGGTGAGTATGAAGAGGAGTGGGAGAGGTAAGCTGGGGGCTTGCTTGGGGTTTTGAGGCGTCTCAGCGTTTGGTCACCGGCCGGGACTTGGTACCGTCCATGATTGCTGGCACTGCACAGGTGAGTATGAAGAGGAGTGGGAGAGGTAAGCTGGGGGCTTGCTTGGGGTTTTGAGGCGTCTCAGCGTTTGGTCACCGGCCGGGACTTGGTACCGTCCATGATTGCTGGCACTGCACAGGTGAGTATGAAGAGGAGTGGGAGAGGTAAGCTGGGGGCTTGCTTGGGGTTTTGAGGCGTCTCAGCGTTTGGTCACCGGCCGGGACTTGGTACCGTCCATGATTGCTGGCACTGCACAGGTGAGTATGAAGAGGAGTGGGAGAGGTAAGCTGGGGGCTTGCTTGGGGTTTTGAGGCGTCTCAGCGTTTGGTCACCGGCCGGGACTTGGTACCGTCCATGATTGCTGGCACTGCACAGGTGAGTATGAAGAGGAGTTGGAGAGGTAAGCTGGGGGCTTGCTTGGGGTTTTGAGGCGTCTCAGCGTTTGGTCACCGGCCGGGACTTGGTACCGTCCATGATTGCTGGCACTGCACAGGTGAGTATGAAGAGGAGTGGGAGAGGTAAGCTGGGGGCTTGCTTGGGGTTTTGAGGCGTCTCAGCGTTTGGTCACCGGCCGGGACTTGGTACCGTCCATGATTGCTGGCACTGCACAGGTGAGTAAGAAGAGGAGTTGGAGAGGTAAGCTGGGGGCTTGCTTGGGGTTTTGAGGCGTCTCAGCGTTTGGTCACCGGCCGGGACTTGGTACCGTCCATGATTGCTGGCACTGCACAGGTGAGTATGAAGAGGAGTGGGAGAGGTAAGCTGGGGGCTTGCTTGGGGTTTTGAGGCGTCTCAGCGTTTGGTCACCGGCCGGGACTTGGTACCGTCCATGATTGCTGGCACTGCACAGGTGAGTATGAAGAGGAGTGGGAGAGGTAAGCTGGGGGCTTGCTTGGGGTTTTGAGGCGTCTCAGCGTTTGGTCACCGGCCGGGACTTGGTACCGTCCATGATTGCTGGCACTGCACAGGTGAGTATGAAGAGGAGTGGGAGAGGTAAGCTGGGGGCTTGCTTGGGGTTTTGAGGCGTCTCAGCGTTTGGTCACCGGCCGGGACTTGGTACCGTCCATGATTGCTGGCACTGCACAGGTGAGTAAGAAGAGGAGTGGGAGAGGTAAGCTGGGGGCTTGCTTGGGGTTTTGAGGCGTCTCAGCGTTTGGTCACCGGCCGGGACTTGGTACCGTCCATGATTGCTGGCACTGCACAGGTGAGTATGAAGAGGAGTGGGAGAGGTAAGCTGGGGGCTTGCTTGGGGTTTTGAGGCGTCTCAGCGTTTGGTCACCGGCCGGGACTTGGTACCGTCCATGATTGCTGGCACTGCACAGGTGAGTAAGAAGAGGAGTTGGAGAGGTAAGCTGGGGGCTTGCTTGGGGTTTTGAGGCGTCTCAGCGTTTGGTCACCGGCCGGGACTTGGTACCGTCCATGATTGCTGGCACTGCACAGGTGAGTATGAAGAGGAGTGGGAGAGGTAAGCTGGGGGCTTGCTTGGGGTTTTGAGGCGTCTCAGCGTTTGGTCACCGGCCGGGACTTGGTACCGTCCATGATTGCTGGCACTGCACAGGTGAGTAAGAAGAGGAGTGGGAGAGGTAAGCTGGGGGCTTGCTTGGGGTTTTGAGGCGTCTCAGCGTTTGGTCACCGGCCGGGACTTGGTACCGTCCATGATTGCTGGCACTGCACAGGTGAGTATGAAGAGGAGTGGGAGAGGTAAGCTGGGGGCTTGCTTGGGGTTTTGAGGCGTCTCAGCGTTTGGTCACCGGCCGGGACTTGGTACCGTCCATGATTGCTGGCACTGCACAGGTGAGTATGAAGAGGAGTGGGAGAGGTAAGCTGGGGGCTTGCTTGGGGTTTTGAGGCGTCTCAGCGTTTGGTCACCGGCCGGGACTTGGTACCGTCCATGATTGCTGGCACTGCACAGGTGAGTAAGAAGAGGAGTGGGAGAGGTAAGCTGGGGGCTTGCTTGGGGTTTTGAGGCGTCTCAGCGTTTGGTCACCGGCCGGGACTTGGTACCGTCCATGATTGCTGGCACTGCACAGGTGAGTATGAAGAGGAGTGGGAGAGGTAAGCTGGGGGCTTGCTTGGGGTTTTGAGGCGTCTCAGCGTTTGGTCACCGGCCGGGACTTGGTACCGTCCATGATTGCTGGCACTGCACAGGTGAGTAAGAAGAGGAGTTGGAGAGGTAAGCTGGGGGCTTGCTTGGGGTTTTGAGGCGTCTCAGCGTTTGGTCACCGGCCGGGACTTGGTACCGTCCATGATTGCTGGCACTGCACAGGTGAGTATGAAGAGGAGTGGGAGAGGTAAGCTGGGGGCTTGCTTGGGGTTTTGAGGCGTCTCAGCGTTTGGTCACCGGCCGGGACTTGGTACCGTCCATGATTGCTGGCACTGCACAGGTGAGTAAGAAGAGGAGTGGGAGAGGTAAGCTGGGGGCTTGCTTGGGGTTTTGAGGCGTCTCAGCGTTTGGTCACCGGCCGGGACTTGGTACCGTCCATGATTGCTGGCACTGCACAGGTGAGTATGAAGAGGAGTGGGAGAGGTAAGCTGGGGGCTTGCTTGGGGTTTTGAGGCGTCTCAGCGTTTGGTCACCGGCCGGGACTTGGTACCGTCCATGATTGCTGGCACTGCACAGGTGAGTATGAAGAGGAGTGGGAGAGGTAAGCTGGGGGCTTGCTTGGGGTTTTGAGGCGTCTCAGCGTTTGGTCACCGGCCGGGACTTGGTACCGTCCATGATTGCTGGCACTGCACAGGTGAGTAAGAAGAGGAGTTGGAGAGGTAAGCTGGGGGCTTGTTTGGGGTTTTGAGGCGTCTCAGCGTTTGGTCACCGGCCGGGACTTGGTACCGTCCATGATTGCTGGCACTGCACAGGTGAGTAAGAAGAGGAGTTGGAGAGGTAAGCTGGGGGCTTGCTTGGGGTTTTGAGGCGTCTCAGCGTTTGGTCACCGGCCGGGACTTGGTACCGTCCATGATTGCTGGCACTGCACAGGTGAGTATGAAGAGGAGTGGGAGAGGTAAGCTGGGGGCTTGCTTGGGGTTTTGAGGCGTCTCAGCGTTTGGTCACCGGCCGGGACTTGGTACCGTCCATGATTGCTGGCACTGCACAGGTGAGTATGAAGAGGAGTGGGAGAGGTAAGCTGGGGGCTTGCTTGGGGTTTTGAGGCGTCTCAGCGTTTGGTCACCGGCCGGGACTTGGTACCGTCCATGATTGCTGGCACTGCACAGGTGAGTATGAAGAGGAGTGGGAGAGGTAAGCTGGGGGCTTGCTTGGGGTTTTGAGGCGTCTCAGCGTTTGGTCACCGGCCGGGACTTGGTACCGTCCATGATTGCTGGCACTGCACAGGTGAGTATGAAGAGGAGTGGGAGAGGTAAGCTGGGGGCTTGCTTGGGGTTTTGAGGCGTCTCAGCGTTTGGTCACCGGCCGGGACTTGGTACCGTCCATGATTGCTGGCACTGCACAGGTGAGTAAGAAGAGGAGTTGGAGAGGTAAGCTGGGGGCTTGCTTGGGGTTTTGAGGCGTCTCAGCGTTTGGTCACCGGCCGGGACTTGGTACCGTCCATGATTGCTGGCACTGCACAGGTGAGTATGAAGAGGAGTGGGAGAGGTAAGCTGGGGGCTTGCTTGGGGTTTTGAGGCGTCTCAGCGTTTGGTCACCGGCCGGGACTTGGTACCGTCCATGATTGCTGGCACTGCACAGGTGAGTAAGAAGAGGAGTGGGAGAGGTAAGCTGGGGGCTTGCTTGGGGTTTTGAGGCGTCTCAGCGTTTGGTCACCGGCCGGGACTTGGTACCGTCCATGATTGCTGGCACTGCACAGGTGAGTATGAAGAGGAGTGGGAGAGGTAAGCTGGGGGCTTGCTTGGGGTTTTGAGGCGTCTCAGCGTTTGGTCACCGGCCGGGACTTGGTACCGTCCATGATTGCTGGCACTGCACAGGTGAGTATGAAGAGGAGTGGGAGAGGTAAGCTGGGGGCTTGCTTGGGGTTTTGAGGCGTCTCAGCGTTTGGTCACCGGCCGGGACTTGGTACCGTCCATGATTGCTGGCACTGCACAGGTGAGTAAGAAGAGGAGTTGGAGAGGTAAGCTGGGGGCTTGCTTGGGGTTTTGAGGCGTCTCAGCGTTTGGTCACCGGCCGGGACTTGGTACCGTCCATGATTGCTGGCACTGCACAGGTGAGTATGAAGAGGAGTGGGAGAGGTAAGCTGGGGGCTTGCTTGGGGTTTTGAGGCGTCTCAGCGTTTGGTCACCGGCCGGGACTTGGTACCGTCCATGATTGCTGGCACTGCACAGGTGAGTATGAAGAGGAGTGGGAGAGGTAAGCTGGGGGCTTGCTTGGGGTTTTGAGGCGTCTCAGCGTTTGGTCACCGGCCGGGACTTGGTACCGTCCATGATTGCTGGCACTGCACAGGTGAGTATGAAGAGGAGTGGGAGAGGTAAGCTGGGGGCTTGCTTGGGGTTTTGAGGCGTCTCAGCGTTTGGTCACCGGCCGGGACTTGGTACCGTCCATGATTGCTGGCACTGCACAGGTGAGTATGAAGAGGAGTGGGAGAGGTAAGCTGGGGGCTTGCTTGGGGTTTTGAGGCGTCTCAGCGTTTGGTCACCGGCCGGGACTTGGTACCGTCCATGATTGCTGGCACTGCACAGGTGAGTAAGAAGAGGAGTGGGAGAGGTAAGCTGGGGGCTTGCTTGGGGTTTTGAGGCGTCTCAGCGTTTGGTCACCGGCCGGGACTTGGTACCGTCCATGATTGCTGGCACTGCACAGGTGAGTATGAAGAGGAGTGGGAGAGGTAAGCTGGGGGCTTGCTTGGGGTTTTGAGGCGTCTCAGCGTTTGGTCACCGGCCGGGACTTGGTACCGTCCATGATTGCTGGCACTGCACAGGTGAGTATGAAGAGGAGTGGGAGAGGTAAGCTGGGGGCTTGCTTGGGGTTTTGAGGCGTCTCAGCGTTTGGTCACCGGCCGGGACTTGGTACCGTTCATGATTGCTGGCACTGCACAGGTGAGTATGAAGAGGAGTGGGAGAGGTAAGCTGGGGGCTTGCTTGGGGTTTTGAGGCGTCTCAGAGTTTGGGTGGAGGGGATTGAGGGGGGAGGCAGGCTGGGGGGAGGGATGGCAGGAGGGCAGCAGGGGGGCGAGGAGGACGTGAGGCGGCTGCCTGCTCGCATTGCATACATGATACACCTCACCACTGGCTCTTCGCTGTCCCTCCCTCCACTGCATTGCATTGCTCCCTCTCTCCTTGAGAAGCCTTGTAATTGACGCCATACCAGGCACCTTAGAAGCGGTGGGGGTGTGTCTTAGAGGGGCGAGGACGTGAGGCGGCTGCTCATTCCATGCTCCTCTCTGCTCTCCCCCCTTCCTTCCCGTCTCTCCCTCTCCCTCTCTCCCTACCCCAGGCCGACGCTGCGCTCCTTGCAATAGACGCCACGCCAGGCAGGCGCCTTCGCGGCGAGAATGGGGGAACAGTAAGGGAGAGTGGCTGTTTGCTGACTCACACCTCGTGTTTTTTCTGTCTTGTCCCCTCTTCCTCTCTCCCTACCCCAGGCCGACGCTGCGCTCCTTGCAATCGACGCCACGCCAGGCGAGAATGGGGGGAGGGCAGGGGGGAGAGGACGTGGGGCAGAGCAAGGAGCACGCGCAGATCGCCAGGAGCGTGGGGGTGGAGCAGCTGTGTGGGGTTGGAACAAAATGGAATCTTCCTCTCTCCCGTCTCTTCCCTGTTTCTTCCCCAGGCCGATGCAGCCCTGTTAGTAATCGACGCCACGCCAGGCGCGTTCGAGGCGGGTATGGGAGGGGGCCAAGGGGAAGAGAACGTGGGGCAGAGCAAGGAGCACGCGCAGATCGCCAGGAGCCTGGAAGTGGACCAGCTGTGCGTGGTGGTGAACAAAATGGACTCTCCCTCTCCCCTCTCCCCTGTCCCCTGTCTTTCCTGTCTGTCCTGTCTGTCCTGTCTGTCCTGTCTCACCCCCAGGCTGATGCGGCCCTTCTAGTAATCGACGCCACGCCAGGGGCATTCGAAGCAGGCATGGGAGGGGGCCAGGGGGGAGAGGACGTGGGGCAGAGCAAGGAGCACGCGCAGATTGCCAGGAGCCTGGGGGTGGAGCAGCTGTGCGTGGTGGTGAACAAAATGGACGCTACCGGGTTCGAGCAGGGCGAGTTTGAGCGCATTAAAGGGGTGCTGGGGCCGTTCCTGACCCGGCAGTGCGGGTTCCGGGACGGTGCAGTGCGGTGGGTGCCGCTGAGTGGGCTGCAGGGGGAGAATCTAGACTCGGCTCCTACAGACGATCGGCTGAAGAACTGGTGAGAAATGGAGTGATATGCTGAGAGGTGGTGAGAGATTGAGTGATGAGCTGAACCAGTGGTGAGAAAGCATGCAGTTCCAAGAGGGAAGGGGATTGAGGTGCGGTGATGTGCGTGCCGTGCCGCTGCTGAGCGGGCTCCAAGGGGGGTGCAATGCACTTCACCGCACCTCAATCTTTAGCATGCCACTGAGCGGGCTCCAAGGGGAGAATCTTTAGCCCACCGACTGACGATCGGCTCAAGTCACTGTGAGAAGAAGTGGCGAGGAAGCATGTTGTCTTGAGGTAATTTGGTCTGCTTGCAGCGGCTTGTATTTGTCTGTTTAAGTGGGGTCCATGGGAGGACCCTTTCGATGCCCTTCCATCTCTGCCTCTCCTCTGTCTCCTCCATCACCCACACACCTGTCCACAGGTACTCGGGTCCAACCTGCCTGAAAGCCATTCATTCCTCCTTAACTCCATTTCTCTCATACACCCCCACCTCCCCCCTACTCCCTCTTACACAGGTACACAGGACCAACCCTTCTAGAAGCCGTTGACTCCTTCTCCCCCCCTCCTCGCGCTCTCAACCGCCCGCTGCGCCTGGCGATAGCCGAAGTGCTCAGAACGAGGGGGCTGGGGCAGGCAGGCGTGGCGGGGAAATTGGAATGTGGAGCGATGCGAGCCGGTACCAAGGTGAGAAAAGGGATGAGGGGTGGTGCGGGTGGGTGGTAACACATTACGTGTCCTTATGGGATGGAATGAGGTGCTCAAAACGAGGGGGCTGGGATAGGCAGGAGTGGCGGGGAAGGTAGAGTGCGGGGCCATGCGACCCGGTACCAAGGTGAGTGATGAGATGCAGAGTCTTGGCGGCAGGTAAGAAAGCCTTCTGGGCTTTGTGGGCCGAAATGCTCAACACGAGGGGCCTGGGCTGGATTAGGCAGGCGTGGCAGTGGAGTGTGGGTGGGGCAATTCGAGCCGGTACCAAGGTGAGCGAAGGGAAGAGGGGCAGTGTGGTGTGTGGTAGTAACGTGGGTGGCAGCACGGGCGGGCGGGAGTGTGATCCTGGGGCTGCTGAGAGTATGCAATCACTCCAAACCCTCTGCTCCCCTTCGCTTCTTCTCTCTTCCCCTTCTCCCAATCTCCCCTTTTCCCCTTCCTTCCCCTTTCCTCCCCTCCCCTTGCCACCCAGGTCCTGGTAATGCCGGGCTCCTTCCAGGCATCTGTTAAAGCCCTAGAGCGGGACGAGTCACCGGTGGCAGCAGCATGGGCGGGGGAGAGCATGGACGTGGGGCTACAGGGCGTGGAGACCAATCACTTGGATATCCCTTTCTCACCTTCTCTTCTTCGCTCCTCCGCTTCGCTTTCCTCCCCTCCCCTACCCCCTTCCCCCCAGGTGCTTGTGATGCCCGGGGCGGCAGTAGCAACAGTGAAGGCCCTAGAGCGGGACGAATCACCAGTGGCAGCAGCATGGGCGGGGGAGAGCGTGGACGTGGGCCTTCAGGGCGTGGAGGCCAATCAGCTCCTGCCAGGTGGCGTGTTGTGCCACCCGGACTACCCCATCCCTGTAGCTACCAGGGTGGAGGCGCGGCTTCTCACTCTCGATCTCAAGATCCCTCTGCTGAGAGGCACCAATGTGAGTGACCAGAGCACTTGTTGCTGTGTCTGCTTGTTTGGCTTGGGGCATGGCTTGCAGGCCCCATCCCCATCGCCACCAGGGTGGAGGCGCGCCTTCTCACCCTCGACCTCAAGATCCCTCTTTCGAGGGGCACTAATGTGAGTGGCTGTGGAAGAGTGTGAGTGGCAGTACAAGGACCAGACCAGAGCACTTGCTGTTGTTGTGCCACCCGGACCACCCCATCCCTGTTGCCACCAGGGTGGAGGCGCGCCTTCTCACTCTCGACGTTAAGATCCCTCTGCTGAGAGGCACTAATGTGAGGGCGAGTGGAGCAATGTGAGTGGCAGGGGCTCCAATGTGAGGGGCTGTGAGGTGCATGCCCCAATCCTGTAGCTACCAGGGTGGAGGCGCGCCTCACTCTCGACCTCAAAATCCCTCTTCTGAGAGGCACCAATGTGAGTGCGGGTAGAGTGAGTGAGGAACCAGACCAGGGCAGTTGTTGCTGTGCCATTCCCATGGCCACCAGAGTGGAGGCGCGCCTTCTCACTCTCCTCAAGGTCCTTCTCACTCTCCTCAAGGTCCTTCTCACTCTCCTCAAGGTCCTTCTCACTCTCCTCAAGGTCCTTCTCACTCTCCTCAAGGTCCTTCTCACTCTCCTCAAGGTCCTTCTCACTCTCCTCAAGGTCCTTCTCACTCTCCTCAAGGTCCTTCTCACTCTCCTCAAGGTCCTTCTCACTCTCCTCAAGGTCCTTCTCACTCTCCTCAAGGTCCTTCTCACTCTCCTCAAGGTCCTTCTCACTCTCCTCAAGGTCCTTCTCACTCTCCTCAAGGTCCTTCTCACTCTCCTCAAGGTCCTTCTCACTCTCCTCAAGGTCCTTCTCACTCTCCTCAAGGTCCTTCTCACTCTCCTCAAGGTCCTTCTCACTCTCCTCAAGGTCCTTCTCACTCTCCTCAAGGTCCTTCTCACTCTCCTCAAGGTCCCTCTCACTCGCGCCTTCTCAAGATCCCTCTGCTCAGAGGCACCAATGTGAGTGGCTGTGGGCTAGGGGCGCACAATACCAGACCCGCAAGGAGGGCAGGGCAGTCCACTTCCCATCACTGCTTACCAGAGCGTGCCTTTTCACGCCCCTCCAGATCCACGTGTAGAGAGGGTGTTTTTGAGGCGTCTCAATAACTACCAGAGCGTGCCTTCTCACAAGATCCATTCATGTGCCTTGCCTCTCCCCCCCCTCTTCCCCGTCAACCCCTCCGCTTCCCCTCCCCCAGGCCATTCTGCACGCGCATGCAGCCAAGGAAGCATGTCGCGTTGTTGCCCTCACAGCCATTCTCGACGCCAAGACTGGTGCTGTTGCCCGCGCCAAGCCCAGAGCCGTGGGGTCCAACCAGAGTGCTGTCGTGGAGGTGAGAAGGGGAGGGGAGGGAGGATCAGATCAGGGGGAATGAAGGTGAATAAGGCAGTGGGGGAGGGAGGTAGGGAATAAGGTCCAAGACGGGTGCTGCTGCGTGGGCCAAGCCCAGAGCCGTGGGGTCTAACCAGAGTGCCATTGTGGAGGTGAGAGGGAGGGGAGGAGGGGGAAGGTGGGGGGAAATATGGGGGGAGGGAAAGGGTTGGGAAGGGCCAAGCTTAGAGCCGTGGTATCCAAGCAGGGTGATATCTTGGAGGTGTACGAGAGGGGGCCCTGGGGGGTAGGGAAGGGAAGAGGGAGGTGGTGTGTGTGTGCCTCGAAGCCCACTCAGTCTTCCGTGCATTGTGTAACCATTCGTCACACTGCGTTCTTTCCCCCTCCACTGCTCCACTCTAACCCAACTCACTCCCCTCTGGCCCGCAGTTGTCTCTGGACCGTGGTGTGTGTCTCGAAGCCTACCCAGACTTTCGTGCATTTGGCCGCATCACGCTCAGAGAGGGAGGCCGCACACTGGCCGTAGGGATTGTTCTGCGTATTCTTGCCACATCAGCACCATAAAAAAATGCTCGCTCAAAGCCGGCACCGAGGGCGGCACACTGGCAGTTGATTCTGTTCTGCAGATTCTTGCCACACCTTCACCTTGAAATGGTTTGAGTCTGGTAAAAAACAGAATTGCTTCAAAAGGGGTGGCGTTTAGAGTGAGCGATCTAAACCCAAACCAATCTGAAACCAGTTGGTCATGATATTATGGTTCGGAAAATTTAGAGCCCTCACTCTTTTCCACTACTGTGCGCACACAAAACATGCTACACTACACACCACCCCCTCTCGCTGTAAAAAAAAAACCAGGAAACCAGTGAAAAAAAATATGCTAAATGAATATTTTTAAAGGCTGTAACGCTTTTCAAAATTTTGTATCTTGAGAGCGAAGCGGCTTGTAATGTAGCAATGGTCATCGGCGAACCGCGCTAAATGCCCGTTTTGGAGTACAAAACGTGGGCTGGAGGTCATTTCCCTCCACCCACGTCTTTCATTTTCAAACGGCTTAGCCTAGTTTCCCGCCCACCCACCCCGTAGAACTGGGAACAATGATGGATAGTAGATTGTTTTAGAATAATTGCATGCTAGCTTGGACATGTATGTACTGTGCCATTTGAAATGAGACGATGCCATTGCTACAACAAGAAAGCAAGCTTTCTAAATTGCGACTATTTCTACGCTTTCTTCAACTTACCACAGAGTGCCACTAAGTTTTCTGGATGCCCCACCTTGACATAAGGGCACATTCCGTTGTGGACATGTCCCTTAAGAAAGCGTCGCAATCGATTGTGACGCGTGAATACAGCATATGCTGCCAGGTGTCAGGATTCCTAACCGCGTGAGAATGTTATGGCGTGTATTTATCATTGGATACCATGAACCACAAAACAGTCGCACGCGAATTGCAAGCAACCGTGTCTTGGACCAGCCATCGCACGCGGCTCCAAATGTCAGGCCCATCTGCCTGTATCTGGACATTTAGTTACAGCTCGAAATTTTCACACGATTGTACAATTGATGCCCAACCAGTGCACGCGAATTTGCCTTGCGCCGGATGGAAACGCTGCACCCGAGGTTGTTTCCCCAGCCTGTTGCTCCCACGTTATAAGCGCGTCGTGTGGTTATCAACCAATAGTAACGAACAGACCGAGGTCAAGCAGAAGAGACTCAAGTCAAATAAGGTAACAGGTCTTGTTTATAAGCACCTGCGAATCCTTTTTAGCTAGCTGTGAATTGACGAAACTTATGCGAAATGCTCGTTACAGCTTATACGCCCCCTTCACAAGGCAACCGGGAGGGGCTCAAACATGCATCAATTGTACAAAACGAGCAGGGAGTGGTTGTTTAGAGCGCGAAAAGATCGCGACAATCCCGCGCCTGTCATCTCTGCAGGCCTGTGCTATATTGGGTGTGAAGTGGTAGATTTGTCTGCCCATTATGGCCACACCCAAACTTTTTGAACTGTGCATCGTGAATATTGGAGCCAATCATGACGCAGCACATGTGATTGTCGCGCACAATATCCAGGTCGCATATGAGAAAAGTAGAACGAGAATGGATTGACTAAGGAATGGAAGTGATACAAATATGCAACCCTAGAAATGTGTACCCCATATAGGCTACCCCACTATAGCCTTCACAATATTATAATTTGACAGCATATACATTCATTCTTTGTGACATGAGATGTCGAGACATTTGGACGCAACTCGGCGGAAAATCGATTGAAACACTTTCTTAAGGGACATGTCCACAGCGGAATGTACCCTAAGCACCCTGATCCACCAGCTGTGCAACTATAGCACGGGCTACCACCTCTGACACAGGCCCAATGCGCGTAGTGTGTCCAAACGTGTAGCGCCCGCGGCGACCCCCTTTGGCGGTGGTGAGATTTCGATAAGTAGTAGAGTCGCTAGCAAGGGAAATAACATTGCAGGTATCTCCTTGACTGTGTGACGGCGACGCTCCTTTGGACTTGAGGTTCCGAAATAGTACGCTTAACTCAGCGTAGGTTTTCGGTGAGCCCATCCTGTGAAATAATAGGATATTGTGAAAAAGGGACTAGTGAGCGTTAGGCTTAGGAGCCATAGTAAGTTGGGTTGGAGAGATCGAGCTCGAGTGAGTTTAGGAAAGTCGAGAAGTTTCAACAAAAGAGGGGTTTCACTATAGAGCGAGCAGTACAAATAGGCAAGATGAAAGGTGCACCACCAAAACAGAACATTATATAACTACAGTAGTCTACACTACAGGCAGTTACAAAACAATATATAGATTTATATATTATTCTGACACGCCCCCATAAGTGCCTGTAGGGAAGAATATGCAGTCAACGCCCCCATAATGGGGTACACCAGACAGGCCGCAGCGGAAATCATAGCAACAGGCAAGTGCAGTGACAACAGGTGCAGTGATGGCAGATCCAGCTGTACCAACCCCTTTACCAAGGTAAAAACAGTAGGAGGTGTTGGGGCGGCAGGTCGCCTGAGGAGCAGGCTCTGTGGCTGCAACATGCAGCAGGACAGCAGCGGCTCGACGGCAGCACCTGCAGGCCCCAGCAGTAGGTAGCAAAAACAAGGACAATAAAAGGTAGGTGGTAGCAGGGGCGGCAGCTGGAGGTGCCACGGCAGCAGCGGGCGTCAGCAGCAGATGACCGGCTGACTTCCGTCGCCCCCTCACTCCCCCCACAGCGGCACGTGCAACAGTGAGAGAGAAAGGAGGGGCGGCAGCTTCTTGCTCACACCCGCCTCCCCAAAGCCTCCCCCCCACACTGCTGCACGTGCAGCAGGGAGAGAGAGGGGACGGTGTGTGGCGGTGCAGCGGTGTGGCGCAGCAGCGAACAGAGGGGCGTCAACCACCCTCGCGCCTCCCCCTCCCCCCCCCCCCCCCCCCCCCGCCACACCTTCGTCCACAGCGGAAAACACGGCAGCGGGCTCGGGTGGCATTGGTGAGATCTCGGGTAGGGAGGGGGAGTAACGGGTGGGTGCAACAGGTGCCGCGACGAGCGCCTGCGCACAGCTCGCCGTCGCTGGCGTGGCAGCTGCAGCGGTAGCAGCCGCATGTTCGACGGGAGGGCGGAGCAGGGGGCGCGATCGGCGGCTGAAGTAGCTCGGCCGCCACACCCGCCGTCTCCCCCCAAAGCGACCGTTGATGCAGACGCTCGGGGCCGCGACAGGGCGTGACAAGGTTGCAGGAGGGCGCGATGGGCAGGCGACGGGGCTGCCGACGAACAGCACGAAGCCCGCCACGCTCGACTTCAGAGCCTTCACGACTGGCGGCTGAACGGGCACGTGTGGGGCCGCGACGAGCGCCATGGCAGGAACGATAAGCGGTGGGCCCATGGGAAAAAAAAAATCAGGTCCTAGGATAGGAACCTCACTCTGATATCATGTGAAAAAGGGACTAGTGAGCGTTAGGCTTAGGAGCCATAGTAAGTTGGGTAGGAGAGATCGAGCTCGAGTGAGTTTAGGAAAGTCGAGAAGTTTCAACAAAAGAGGGGTTTCACTATAGAGCGAGCAGTACAAATAGGCAAGATGAAAGGTGCACCACCAAAACAGAACATTATATAACTACAGTAGTCTACACTACAGGCAGTTACAAAACAATATATAGATTTATATATTATTCTGACAGATATGAGGTAGGAATATTATGTCAGGGGGAGCACCTTTCAAGAGCACAAAAGGAGTCATTGCTCAGCCCTGTGTGATTGCTGGTATATGATTAGTTACTAGCACGAGTAAAATTGCAAGGAGAGTAGACGTACGTACCTCACACCCTTTGCGACAAATATCCCTGATGCGCCTTTGTCACCCAAAAGTACTCTATTATCGTACTTAATTGGACGCAACTTGGCAACATATTTCGCTGAAAATAAGAATGGCGAAATCGTAGGTGTCAGCGAGTCGCTGAAAGTGTTTTTAGTCGACTCAGAATGGACGCGAAGACTTTGCTTACTTTGCTGACAGACTTTGTTGACTTTGCCAGACTTTGCGGAAAATGAGAATGGCGAAAACCGTTTTAAAAAACGTAGGGTCGAAGAGTCACTGGAAGAACAGACGAGAAAACGAGCTATGGCTTCAGAATGGGCGACGGCGACATACGGGCATAATGATGCTGGGACGAATGCAGAACCGGACAGAGATAGGGTTGCAGTGTTATCAGGAGCTCTGCATTGCAAAACAAAATATTTTACCGAATATTTTTCCTTTATAAAGTTGCTGGGGCGTGGCTGCATGAGCGGTTGAAGCGAGAGGAACGCTGCTGCCATCACCGTGTGGGGGGAATGATCCGGCGAGGAGCGATGCAGACGCGGCGGCAGTGAACAGCGCCGCACCTGGCGGGCACGCAGCGCGACACGTGGATTGCGCATTAGAACAGTTGAACGAGATCGCATGCAGCTAAACAACACACATCTAAAAGCACGTTCAACAGAACTAATCTGGTTTCGCGCAACTA